GAAACCTGATGAGATTCTCCTTTAGATCTCAAATGTTGAGCCCCTTTTGCCACCTGACTTGCAGCCTCCGATTTTTATCTCTTTTATTTACTGCCACCGCAGCATCTAGAACAATGCCTGACACATCTCAGTCACTCGGAAATGGCTGTTGGATGAATGAGTAGCCTCTGAGGAAGTGGGGTACCGGCTGCTGCAGGCTTATCTTCCAGCTCACCTCATTCTTGCCTGTCCCCTCCTTCAGGTCAGCCTCACTTGCTGCTGGCTCCTTCCTGCAGCTTGGAAAGGAGCTCGTCCCTCAGGTAAAAATAGAAACACTCTCCCGGGGCCCTCTAGCTAATATTCTGTCTGCCTTGTCTCATTTTCCATTCGCTCCTCAAACTTCTCCCATTGCCCTCTGTGTCCCCCACTCTCCTGGAAGGACCCTCCACAAGGTCACGAGTGGCGCCCGCCCAGTCACTGTTTGCTTTTCAGTCCTTACCTCAGCTTTCATGTAAGGACCACTTCCCAAAACTCCCCTCTCCTGGGGAGGAAGTAGTGTGCTTCCCTGGTTTTTCTCAGGTCATGGTGCCTTATTCTGCCCCCGGCCCGGGTTCTTCTCCTTCAGGCTTCCTTCTCACCTTTGGGGCCCCTGAAGGTTCCATCCTCAGCCCTTTCTCTTCTGGCTCCCGCGCTCCCAGGGGGACTGAGGTGCCGCGGGTGCCACCAGCGCTCCCCTCCTAACTCCAGGCTGATCCCCACTTCCCCGACAGCTGCACTGGCTGTCTCACAGGAGACCCTGAGGGGTGACAGAATCATCCCCAGGGCCTCATCTCAGGCGGTCTCCTCCCTGAGACCGCCCTACAGGCCCATGACTGTATCCGTCAGGACCCAGTATTTATTAGAGTGAATTTAATAAGGGACATCGGGGGCGCCTGGGTGGCTCAGTGGGTTAAGCGTCTGCCTTCGGCTCGGGTCATGATCCCAGGGTCCTGGGACGGAGCCCCGCGTCGGGCTCCCTGCTCAGCGGGGAGTCTGCTTCTCTCTCGGCGTCTGCCAGGAAGGGGTGGTTGAGAGAAGCCCGAGGCTCCGCGGGGCGCTTTGCAGAGCTGACATTGAGCCCAGGCACAGCGAGCACACCGTGGCTGGGGCTGGACCCTCAGGAGCTGGGAGAAACCACAGGCTGGGACTCAGGGCTCTGAGAAGGGCACTGCCCGGCGGTGCTGCTCTTTTTGAAGGGACGCACCGCTCTAGTAGGTGCAAGAACGGCCGCAGCTCCTTCTGCGCCAGCGTCAGGAGCCTCACCTCCTCCTTCTCACTCCCTGTCGCCCTCTAGCGGCCCTTGTTGCTGGAAGCTAACAGGGAGCCCTCCGGAACCGGAGCAAGGTGGTCTTCAGAATTCAGGCTGATTGGGACCTGCATTGATCATTAACATTTCATCCTTTACCTCCAAACCTGCTCCTCTCCCTGTGCCTCGTGTCCCGGGTAATGCTCTACCTGTTCACGCTCCAAGCCAGCCCAGTGGGGCCCTCCTGGATGCTGCCTTTTCTCATAGCCCACGGCCTGCTGAATTGTATTTTCAAGTTGTTCTTTCCTTTTTGTCCCCAGTGCCTTTGTACTCATGTCGACCCTTGTCATCATCAAACTAAGAAACAACTGCAATGGCCTCCTTCCTGGTCTCTTTGACTCCTTTCTTGATCCCTCTACGCCATCCATGCCTTAGCCAAAGTGATCTTTCTAGAAGTTAATCTGATCATATGGCTCCACTGTTGCACACTCATCCACGGCTCTTCTTTGTGACTCGAGAAGGTGCGAGCACCCAGGAATGGCATTCTGAGTTTCTCATCACCTGGCCTCTACTGCCCTCTTTTGTCTGCCTTGTGCCTTATACATCACCCATGCAGAAGTACAGGTGGTCCCATGGAACTGTTCTCTTCCTCCACCGTCCATGTCCCTCTGAAATGCCTCCCTGCCATCCCATGTCCTGGCTGTCTGCAAACGCCTTCTCACATTCTTAAAACCAGCCGCCAGTGCTTTTTCTGAGAAGTCTTCCCTGATCTCCCCAGGGTAAGTTAATCATTTATTCCTTTGCGCCCCTACCATGGCCTGTCTCTATAAAATTATTTACCACACTGAATTGCATATTTGCATTTGTAAATCTGTCTTCCAATATGAATTAAGATTAGATTCAGCAGCAAGTGGCAGGAAACCCCAAACAGCACTGGCACAAAAAGTGTAGGTGTTCATTTCCAAGTCACATGTCAGCTGGCCAGAAGTCCCAGGCTGGTATGGCTGCCAGACGCTTCTATCTGCTTGACCCACCTCCCTTACCGTAGAGTTTCCATTCCTGGTCCAAACGGCTGGCTATTCCAGCTCAGCCGGTTGGGTTCACATTCCAGCCAGAAGAGAGGAGACAAAGGAGGGTGAAGGACACAGCTCCTTAGGCTAAGGCCACCTCCCCAGACCACCAACTTCTGAGAAAAGGATCATATCAGCATCCCAGGGCTGCCGGAACAAATCACCACACACTTAAAACCACAGAATGTATTCTCTTACAGTTCTGGAGGCCAGACTTCTGAAATCAAGGTGATGGCAGGGCCAGGCTTCCTCTGAAGACTCTAAGGAAGGATCTGTTCCATGCTTTTTTCTTAGGTTCTGGTGGTCTGATGGTCCTTGTCATTCCTTGGTGTATAGATGCATCACTCCAATCTCTGCCTCCACCTTCACAGGGGATTTCCTCCATGTCCATGTGTCTTCACATGGCCTTCTTATAAGGACACCAGTCCCTGGGTTTAGGGCCCGCCCAGATGCAGTATGACCTGCTGCAAAGACCTTATGTCCAGGTCAGGTCACATTTTTGAGGCTCTGGGTGGACATGAATTTTGGAGGGACACTCTTCACCCCAGTACAAGTGTCTTTACCTCTTTATCTTGCCAGTATGAGCTCAGCACGGTATCTGGCACATAGTAGGAGCTGAATGCAACCGATTACTGGCTTCCAGTATGTTTGGCTACAGTTTTCAGAACTGAATATGGCTGCTTTTCCAGAACTGAATGCAACCGATTACTGGCTTCCAGTATGTTTGGCTACAGTTCCCTTCAATTAACATTCCCTGAGTTTCCTTACCACAGGGCTGGTTAATCATTTTGTGACATTTTCTCATGAAAAATTAGAACCAAATCAGTGTGGGATGACTTCCTGGTGATATTCACACTCATTTAAAATTCATCTTTTTTTTTTTTCTTCAAAATAAGATATGGACGTAGTTTAAAAGTGAAATAATGCCTTAAAGAATTAGAAGAATTTATGGCAACATAGAGCAATTTCCTTCGCATGCCTCAGTCCTGTTTCTTGGATACAACTCTCTTCACTCTCCTGGCTGTGTCTTCTGGTATTTAACTCCATGTTTCTATGGAACCTGTGCATATTATCAATTCCAGGCACCATAGCACCTGTCAATGCCTTACCCCCTTCCCTTGGGTCTTACTTCTTCAGTGCAGGTGGCCTGCTTCTATTTGCTAATATCTGCATCTCTCTGCCTGAAGACTTTTTCAGAGACCACTCCGCCTGTGCTCAGGGCAGGCCTGAAATGCCGAGGAATTACCCCAGAGGTAGCTCCCAACCTGATGGGACTTGGCATATAATTCCTTCGCTCTGGCACGCTGCTGGACTAACCCTGAGGCATGGGCTGCACCATTCCCCAGACTTTCTCTACGGGATTAAGGTCTGGTTGGCCAGTTAGATTCGGGTTGATCATGAACCCTTATTGCTGGCCTCTCTGCACTCCACTCTTCTGTGGTGTTTTATGTAACCCCTAAGTAAACCTTTTTTTTTTTTTAAAATATATATACCATTTTTTTTAATTGTGGTCAAATAGACATAACAAAGATCATGAGTTCAATAGGTTGGGGAGCATTATTTTAGGTACCTTAACCAAAGAAGTGACATTTAAGCAGAGACTTGAATAAAAAAGGGCAGCGGACCATGTCCTGTTTGAGGCGATAATGATCTAGGCAGAGGGAACTGTCAAGTCAAGAGACCAGAGGTAGGAATAAAGCTGGCTGAGGACTTAGCTTTCTTACTCCTTCTACCAGCATGCATACACACTCCTTCAATCTTCTCAACATAGTTATGTCACATGTTTTGGATAAAAATGTTTGGATAAACTTTGATGTAGGAAAGACTTTAGGGTTCGAAGCCAATGGCCAAGAAAGAATTCTTGAGACATCTTTGGTGCAAAAAGATGGTTTTATTAAAGCACGGGGACAGGACCCATGGGCAGAAGGAGCTGCACTGGGGTTACAAGGAGTGGCCTGTTATATACTTTCAAGCTGGGAGGGGGTTGGGGATAGCGTAAGTCTCTAAGGAATTTTGGCAGCAAGGTTTCCAGGACCTTGAGGGGGCTAGCTGTTGTTGGGAAAAGGTCATTTATTACAGTCTAATAAAACCTTAGTCATCAAACCTCCTTAGTCATGAACCTTAGTCATGAGATGTGTATCGGTGGGCCATATGCTTGGAGGATGATTGCCAACACTTATCTTGGAGGGGTTTAAAGATAAAGGAATTTCCAAAGGAATTTTTATATATTAAGGTAGACTCACAGGGTCCTGGGAGTTGGGCTAAGATTGCCTTTTGCCCTTAGCAAAGTATCAACATCAAGGCAGTCGAGTCCCTAGAAGAATGTCACTCTGCCTATTTCAAGGACTTGTCAATCAGCTGTAGGTAGTAAGGAAATTTAATAATTTTTCTTCTGCCTTTGTTTCCCACATTATAAACTAGTAGTTCATTGTTCTATTATTAGGCTCACACAAATGTTGTTCACTGCTAAGCCATATAGTGTATTCTTGTTATAGTTTTGCTCATAAACTTTTGTTTTTCCTAGAGTTAGAAATTCTTTTCATGCAAACAATGAATCATGGAACACTAGATCAAAAACCAATGATGTACTGTATGGTGACTAACATAACGTAATAAAAAAAAAGAAATTCTCGTCATTTTTTAAATTTAGTGTTGGCCAGGATTTGATATAGAAGCAGAACTACCAGGGTGTGTGTGTGTGTATGTGTGTGTTAGTTCTACTTTAATTCCGGGTTATCTTCCGAAGCTGCTTCTTTTCTGCTCCCTTCTTTAGGTATGGGACATGGCTATCTTGGGGCTTCTTTTCATTGCTTCTTGGATCTATCCTCTTTCTGGATGTAATCCCCACTTCCTCTTCTTTTACTTTTATGTACATATGTATGGATGTCTGTGTTAGGGTGGTTGTTGAGAAGACATGATTGTTGATTGACCCCTGAGCTGGACCCTGACAATCAGAGGCTCCTTGCACCCCTCCCTTGTCCTTGGAATATGGGTTCCACTTGCCTTCCCCGCTGCCAGAACCTACTCCAACGACGCACCACAGTGATGTGGTGCAGAGACCATCTGGACTGTATACATGACTGAACCCAGTGAGGGCCACTACATAAACTTGTGAGATTTGGTGAGCAGGTACAGAGATCAACTAATCTTGTTGCCACCCAAGACAAACCTTGTAGGTAAGTTCCCTCTGCTTATTAAAAACTGCCACGTACCAACCTGGAGTGGCCTGCTTCTTTCTTTGGTCTGTTCCTACCCTCTGAGTACAGGGGCCAGTTTCAGATTACAACTGGGATGCTCCCAAGGAGCTTGCAAACCAACAGTGTGTGTATGCATGTATGTGTATGTGTGTCTGCATATATGTGTATGTATGTATGTATATGTGTGTATGTATATATGTGTATGTGTGTATATATGTATCACTGAAACTCATCTTCTAGTAGCTCCTAAGAAATAAGGCATGGGAGATAGAACTCTTACGTACTTCCATGTCTGAGAGTGTTTTGTTCTATCCTCAAACTTGATTAATGGTTAGGTTAAATGTTTAATTCTAGATTGAAAATTGAAAATCATGTTTTCCCTCAGAACTTTGAAGGGCTTCTAACATCTGGTATTGTTCTTGAGAATCCAATGCCATTCAGATTTCCAGCTCATTATATGTAAACTTCCTTTCTCCCTCCCTTCCCTTCCACTCCTCCTTCTCTTTCTCTCTCTCTTTCAATTATCATTTTTGTCCTGAGTGTGAAATTTCATGATTAGGGTTTTTTTTTTTTTTTTTTTTTTTTTTTTGCTGTAGGCATTTTTTCGTTCATTGCATTGGTTGTATTATGGGCCCTGTTAATCTGCCCAGATTGGAATTTTCCTGTATTGTTTGTCTTATGTCTTTGTTAATATCTTCCTCTCCATTTTTTCCTGTACTCTTTTTATAGAACTCCTATTTAGTTAAGTGTTGGACCTCCTGAATTGCTCATCGAATTTTCCCGTCTGCCTATCTATAGCTCATTTGTTTGTTTCTTCTTCTCCTCTTCTTCCTTTTAAAAGTACTTTCTGAAATATTTTCTTGATTTCATTGAATCTTTTGATTTAAAACATTTTTAATGTTCATAATTTAGTTTTAATTTTGTTTCAAAAGGAGCTTTTTATTCCCTAATTGCTCTCATTTTGGTATTACAGCATTCTATTCTCATTTTATGAGCAGAGCATCTTTTTATATCTCTCTAAAGATATTGATGTCTTTGGAATTTTCTTCTGTTTTCCACATTGTTTTTCTTTCCTGATAAAAAATTCATTTATTTGTTTTGGTCTTCATATTGAATGCTTTCCTTAAAAATCTATTGATGCTTTGCTGTCTGTCCACATTTCAGAAAAGGATAGCAAGAGTTGATGTGAAATTCTCTGACTGTGGCATGGCATTGACTTCCAGGCATCACTAATGGGTGGTGGGGCTGCAAGTGGGCTTTTTCATGGGGAGACCCTCAAATATAACAGTACATTTACTCTGGGCTATTGCTTCTTAATGTAGAATTCTGTTTCTTGAGAAAATATTGTCTCACTTCTTGCCTTGGGATATATATCTGATGACTGGCACTTGGAGCCTGGGACTGGAAGCAGATAGTGAGGAGTGAGGAGGGATGGTTTCTTTCTTCTGCAGACAGACATCATTCAGTTCCTTTCTTCAGCCTCATAGTTCACCCATGCTTGCCAATGTGCCTCTAGTACCCTTTACTGAAGTCCATCCTGCAGGGGCATGGAGGAGTGCTATAGGCTGAATATTTCTGTCCCCCCCAAATCCATATGTTGAAGCCCTGATCCCAAATGTGATGGGATTTGGAGGTGGAGGTCTTTGGGGGGTAATTAGGTAAAGCCCCTGTGATGGACTTAATGCCCTTATAAGAAGAGATACAGAGAGTTTTCCTCCCTCCCTCCCCTCAGTCATGTGAAAATACAACAAGATAGCAGTCATTTGCAAGAGAGCTCTCACTGGGAACCAAATTGGCCACCTTTATCTTGGGCTCCTTGGACTCCAGAACTGTGAGAGGTAAGTGTTTGTTGTTGAAGCTATCCAGTCTATGGTGTTTTGCTATGGCAGCCCAAGCTGACTTATAAAGGGAGCCATTCCTTGTTTGTACAGGGATGGAGAGGAGATTTGGGAGCCCGATAATTTTGTATCAAAGTTTCCAGATGGGGGAGCACCTGGGTGGCTCAGTCAGTTAAGCATCTGCCTTTGGTTCAGGTCATGATCCCAGGGTCCTGGGATGGAGCCCCGCATCAGGCTGTCTGCTCAGCGAGGAGTCTGCTTCTCTCTCTCCTCTGTCCCTCCTTCCCCCACTCGTGTTCTCTTTCTCTCTCAAATAAATAAAAATCTAAAAAAAAAAAAAGTTTCCAGATGGTCTTAGTTTCGGTATCTCTTCTTGCCCCACCTTTCCCCAGAACTCAGCACCTTCATTCTGCGACCCCCAGGGTCCTTCGGGTGGACTGATAAGCTGTTCAGCTTCGTCTGCCTGTGTGGTGATGTACCACTCTCTCACCCACTCTCTGACTCCTGGAATTTTGCTGCTGTCTCTCTTCTGCCATAGCTTCTCCTCTCATTGTCTTTGTGGGTCTACTTCTTTACTACAACATTGCTGCTGTTTCAGGAGGGAGCAGATGTAAGTGCTTATGCTCAGTCCACATATTTACCTGAAGATTCTCCTCTTTTGCTGGGCTGATGGCTATTGCTCTTCTCCACACTGCCCTCTTGTAGAATGTGTGCAGGGATGCTAGAAATAGCAGGAATAAGGTGATATTTAAGAGTACGAGTCCTGGGCTGAACTACAGCACTGGAATGTGTGCTCTGCCATGTATGAGCTGTGTGTCCTTGGACAAGTCACATCTTCTCTGTGTCTGAAGATCCTCATGTATGAAATGGGATTGTAATATTTACCTGAGAGGTAATTACGATCAACATTGGCCTTGGAGCAGCAGGTCCCTCCCTAGTGCTTTCCTCCTGCCTCCACCCCACCCTAAGGAGAATGAGAACTCAAGGAGAGTAGTTTCCAAACTCGCTTGAAAAGCTGAGGGATGGGATGGATGAAAAATTGATGGGAGGCATAAATATTGCAGGAGCGAATGTACCAGATACGCTTAAGGATAGAGTTAAGGGAGAAATCTACTGCTGCAGAGGAAACCGGCCTCTGCTTGGGGGGATAGAGAGGAGGGAGGGGGGCGGGATTCCAGTCGGGGGCTCCTTGGCGTCACTGCCAGGCTTCAGGGCTCCCGGGTCCTAAGAAATGCTGTGGTTCAGTGAAGCTCCGATGGAAGAGGATTGCAAGTGTCTGCTGGGTGGGAGTGGGGATGGGGACACGCGCCACCTCGCTCAGCCTCCAAGCTGCTGCTCTGGGTTTCTTTCAGCTCCTGTTAGGGGAAATGCAGATTGGGCTTAGAGAAACTGAGGTCTCTCTGAGCTCGTAGGTACTTGAAGACACTGGATAGTTTCCCCTTTCCACAAGCCCCACAAGCTCTTCTTGGTGGAGGGACTTCACCTCCTGGTGGAGGGACTAAACGCCTCTGTCACCCAGTGTGGTCCCCTAGAGGTCAATATTCCGGTGCTCTGAGTCACTGTTCTGTTTTCCCCTTTGACCCATTTTCACTTCAGAGAACTGGTGGGAAGATCTTTCATCCTGATGGGTATGATCAGTCCTTGCATCTGAACACCAGCTGACTAACTTCCTTCTGAGAGGAGTAAAGGGAACGAGCTAGAGTCTTGACACCAGCTCACACGGAGCACCTTCTCTACATCTCAAGCCATTTCTCATCAGCCTGTCTTTGGCAGTTTCTTCCGGGACTACTGGAGATTTAGCTGGACCGTCTGGAAGTGGGGGTGCATGGTGTGAGGGAGTAGTTACAGGCAACCGAGGCAGGGAGTGAGAACAGTCGTGCCCAGTGGTGTGCTGATAAATGCTTAACAACCAGCTCTTGGGGGCGGAGGAGGACCCTTGACTGGAGACATCTGCTGATCTCTGTGGTGTCAATACTCTCACCCCAACCCATTTCATGCCACCAATAGGATGTCCAGCGGCTCACACAGTTCCCGAAGACTTAGCAGCCATCTCATGCAAGCTGGTAGACGTCTTCCCCAGCACATCACTGGTCCCGCTGTCTCTGGAGGCTTAGAAACCCAAGTCGCCATGATGCCTTTTACCATCAGCCACAGTGGAACTGGGTATCTTGCCTCCCTGTGCCTCAGGTGGCCAGGAATGTGGGTTTCTCTGGTGCCAGCATAGGTCACTAATGCAGAAGTTAGGTACTGGGGAATCCCGTGGAGCTCTGGAGAATTCCTTTGAGCTCAGCGAGTGCCACGTGGCTTGTCTGGTGGCACCCCACAGTCAGATGCAGGAAGAAGGGAGGGCAAGTGAAAAGCCACTGCAGTCACTCGGAAAAGCCAGGGATTGATCTAGCTCTCCCCGGCTACCAGGGATATAGATTGCAGCTCCTCTCACCGGCTGGAAGGTTTCGGATATTGTTAATGCACGCCTCAGATGTCTGTGGTAACGAATGGCTAACACATACCGAGCTTCATTAACAGTCCAGGCACTGTGCTGGCTGTTCTATGGGCATCTCCACAACATCCTTAGGAGGTAAGTGTGATCTTTATTCCCACTTTACACACAAGGAAACTGAAGCTTGGATTAAATCATGTGCCCCAGGTGACACAGCTGGGAAGGACTAGAGCTGGGATTTGAAGCTGGTTCTGTTTGAATCTAGAACCCATCTTCCTAAACACAGTCTCCTAATTCCTAACCACATATCACCAAACATAAAGTCTAGGCCCTTTCTGGAACTCTGGACAATCAGGTGGTGGACATGTCCCCTGCTCTTTCCAGTGTCTGGCTCTCTGCAGCAGGAGCCCACGGGACCTTACGGAACTGGCCTTGGGGGCAGGATTGCCACGTTCAGCTCACCCTGAGCAGTCTCCAACTCTAACCCCACTGCAGCCAGGAAGGAGTGTGGAAGCCCAGATAGCGTGGACCCCGAGGATGGAGGCAAATGTCACCCTCTGTTACGGGAGTGAATTAAATCCTGTCAATGGGGGAAGAGCTCCGTCTCCGAGAAAGGAACCCACTGTCGGGAGCAGTCGGTGTCCTCATTGCTGGTAAGCACAGAGGGTCCTGTGGCTGTCACTAAGAACCCAGGTGCTCTCTGGAATGCTGTAAGGAAGACACCAGTGCAAGGTAAGCGACAATCTCAGGAGCTGTAAGACCCTGTCACGGGTCCTGTTGCAATGACAGAGGAGGTTAATGACTGAGAAAGAATTAGGGACCTAGGCAGAACAGACTGAAGCAAGCCAGGTTGTCTCCCCCAATTCATGGAAGATGCAATTTCAAGCAGGCCGTGCTGACTGCATAGACAGAAGGCTCCATACCCTGGAAAAAAGCTTCTTCGTGGAGTTTTCCTTGCTTGATTGGCTGTGCCTTAAGTGCTCCCTCTCACTGCCTTCTGTGACTCTGAGGCACAATCTGGTACCTGCTTATCTTTCTAGCCTCCTTCTCTCCACCACATCAAACCTATAACTCATTTTCCATCCTCTGTGTCTTTGTTCACCTACTGCTCTCCTTGGAATGACCCCACCCCCAACCTTGGGTACAAACCTTCACACCTCCTTCAAAATGCAGCTCGCCTCCTCCTTTGGTTCTGGTTCCTTCCCCACTCCCTCCACCCCCTTCTGGAAGTATTCCTCCCTCCCCTGCACTCCCCTAGCAGCCCTTCTGCGTCTTTCTTGTCCACATTTTTATCTGTATCATATCTATGTGCAAGGAAGCTTCTCGAGGGCATGACCCATGTAGAACTTATGGCTGTACCCACCAGGGCATCTGCCTTGGTGCCTTGCTCATAATAAGGATTCGGAATATATTTGCTGAGCAGAATTTTTAATCTTATTTTGGGTGTGAACCTACCCCCCCTCCAAAATTAAATTTGGGCAATGACCCTAATGGGTCACTGCTGGGCATGCCTCTGTGGTTGCAAAGGTTACCAGCCAGTACCTTGTAAGTTTGATGGTTATGCGTTCATCCCCAAATATGTGCTTATCCCTAGGTGAACCAATAAAATTTAATTTATTAATCTGCAAAACTGAGACCCAGACAGACTCTGACCTTTGGTGAACCCACCGCATAAAACAACACCCCCCCCCCCCCCCACACACACACAGAGAAAGCACCACCTAAGGCAGAGTGATGCTTCTGGTTAACCTTCTGAATGTCAATCTTCCATAGCACTTTTGCATTAGATGCAAGAGCCTCAATTAGATGAGGAAAGTCCGTGATAATGTGTTCAGTGCTACACTTCAAAATGATTAAGCACAGAGTCTAGCCGTGCAGGGGATCCCAGACATCTAAATGTGCTGTTGTGTTGAATTTCAAGTACCTTTTCTTGGTCTGCCTTGTAAAAATTGCCTCAGTCGGTTTAATTTCGACTCAGCTGAGCAGCAGGAAAGGTGAGGGCTGAGCTGCCAAAGTTGCAAAGGGAGTGAGAGTACCTACCCCCTTACAGGAGAAATGCAGCAGCTCAGCTGCGAAGAGGACATTCACCTGTTGTTCCCGTGGGGATGGGGGCGGGGGCAAAGCGAACTGGCAGAGCTCAAGGAGAGAGGGTGGCACATTACCAACAAGGCTGCCAGGGCCCGCTGCAGCCCCCGGACCCACACAGCCCCACAGCCCCAGCACCCCCAGTTAGCACCTTGCAAACACATCAGCTGATCCTAGCAGCGCCCGGAGGGGAGGGGCTCGCCCTGCTTCTTCCAGTGTGCTCGTACTTTCCCTTTCTCTGCACTTTCTCTGCAGTCCTGCCCTCTAATAACTTGCAGGAGTCCTTGCCCCTGCTTCCCCACACTGCTCCGGAGGCAGTGGGAGCTTCACGCAGTCCTCCAGGCTCAAGAACCAGTTTTGTCTGGAGTCAGGGGTGATTGAATTTGTGCTCATGCATAGTTCGAGAAATGTGGCCTTGAGGCAAACATGCCGCCAACAGGCTTCGGTGTCTTTGCTCGTTTTATTTATTTATTTTTAAATTTGCAATTTATACATTTTTTAAAATTTAAATTCAACTAATTAATGTATAATGTCTTATTGGTTTCAGAGGTAGAGGTCAGTGATTCATCAGTATTATATAACACCCAGTGCTCATTACATCATGTGCCCTCCTTAATGCCCATCACCCAGTTACCCCATCCCCCCAGCCCCTCTCCTCCAGCAGCCCTCAGTTTGCTTCGTGAGATTAAGAGTCTCTTATGCTCTGTCTCCCTCTCTGGTTTCGTCTTGTTTTATTTTTTCTTCTCTTCCCCTATGGTCCTATTTTGTTTCTTAAATTCCACATATCAGTGAGATCATACGATACATGTCTTTCTCTGACTGACTTATTTCGCTCAGCATAATACCCTCTGGTTCCAGTCACGTCATTGCAAATGGCAAGATTTCATTCTTTTTGATGGCTGTGTAATATTCCTCCTTGCTCATTTTAGATGGGAGTCCACTCTGTGTGACCCAGCCTCCACCCTTATCTCTGCGTGACCTGGGACAGCAACAAGAGCCAGTGTCATCGAGCCTACCTGCCAGGCCTCGCTGAAAGCGTCTCACAGATTGTCCTACTGATTTCACCCTTTTGATGGTCATGTGGGTAGGAGCTCTTTTTCCCACATTTTACCCATGAGTAAACGGAGGCCTCGAAGGGTTAACTATTTGGCCCAAGTGGGCTTTCAGTCCCACTGCCTTTTCTTTTTGCGGTCTACACCACCTTACTCATCTCCTTTAGCCCGTCTTCAGTCCCTCCACTAAGCCTTATAGCTGTGTCTTCACTGGCTGCCACATGGATGGGCCACGGGCTCCCAGAGGGCTCCAGAAACAGATTTCTAGTCTCCTCACTGCACTGGGCTCTCTTTACGCTGATCCTGGAGGCCCTCCTAGTACCCTCCCTCGGCTCCTCACTAACTCCATGTTAAAGGTCAGCTTCTTTCCCAGGCATCTGAGGACTGTAACCCTCATCAGAATTCCCGGCTCCTTCCCACCATGCCCCAAGTGGACCGTGCGGTCACCCTGACTCCTCACCATTCCACAAACACGTCATGCACTGTGGGCCTCTGGATTTTTTTCTCAAGATTTTATTTATTTATTTGAGAGAGGGAGAAAGAGAGAGAGAGAGGCAGAGGGAGAGGGAGAAGCAGACCCCGCGGAGCAAGGAGCCCGATGAGGGACTCGATCCCAGGACCCTGGGATCATGATCTGAGCCCAAGGCAGATGCTTAATTGACTGAGCCACCCAGGCGCCCTGCCTCTGGATTTTGCACATGCTCTTTCTCCCTCAGAGAATACTCTGCCCTCCTTCTCACTCTTCTTAATCCCTCGGAGCCCTTCTAAATGCCCTCTCCTTGGACAGTTTTCCTTGTGCCCCCTCAGTTCTGCTGTGTTCCTACTGGCCAAGTAGCCCAGTCACCTGTGTCTGTGAATGTTGTTCACACCGCACTGTGACTCGTTGGGAGCAGGGACCCCGTGTTACCCATGTTTGAATTGCCAGGGCCCCGCATAGTGCACAGTCCCAGCAGACAGATGTCTATATGAAGTTCATTCAAAGTGTGTTCACATTCAGTGTGTTATTTGATCTTGACAATAAGACTGTGGAGAAGAAGGGAGTTTAAGTGATGGGGAGAAGGGGTAAGAACCTAGGAAATAAGGCAGTACTCCGCCAGGAAAAGCCAGGAAGGTGGCATGATTCCCTCTGTTAGTCTGCACGGGCTGCCATAACCAAGTACCACAGACAGAGTGGCTTACACAACAGAGATTTATTTTCTCACAGCTCTGGAGGCTTGAAGTCCTACGTCAAAACGTTGACGGGGTTGGTTTCTTCTGAGGCCACTCTCCTTGCCTTAGAGATGGCTGTCTTCTCCCCGGGTCCTCACAGGCCCTCTGTTGGTATGTCTGTGCCCAAATTTCTTCTTCTAAGGACACCAGCCATTTTGGATTAGGGACCAGTAGTTTGGTCTCATTAACTTAAACACCTTTTTAAAGGCTCTATCGCTAACTACAGTCACATTCTCAGGTACTAGGGGTTAGACTTCAACATACGAATTTGGGGGACCCAATTCAGGCTACAACATTCTGTGTGGCCGATGGGAAGGGGACGAAGGTCCCATGGGTGGTGTTCTGACCAGCACTGAACACTGCTGGTAGAGGGGGTCGCCCTCACCATCCCCACCCCTCTGCCTTCCTACAAGGCCTACGGGCACCCAGTAGAGGACAGAGCCTCAGCCATCACCATCCTTCCAGCCTCCTCACAAGGCCCAAGTCTACCAGTGGTCCGCAGGTATCTCAAACTCCCGGCCATCTTACTTTGGACAGACGGCCTTGCTGAGGGTGCCTCTCTGACTGTCCTCCTGCAGGGAGGCCCTCCCTTCCTCCAGATGCCTTCATAAAGGCCAACCCTCCAAGGCCCTCTGCACCGGTCTCCGTGCACGCAGCCCCTGCCTCCTGGACGTGCTGCCACCGACTGCGGGTATTCCTCCCTTTTGTTCTTGGTGAAATCTCTTGTTCTCTAATCATTAGCCTGTGTGGTCTTGTCACTCCAGCAGCATTGCCAACTCCCTGAAAGCTGCACTGTGCTGCATCCTTTGCTTCCTCACAGCCCCTGACTCGGAGCTGGCCCCCTGGTAGGCGCTCAGTAAATACTGGTTCAAATCAACTGAAATGCATAGCCATGCTTTGGTTCCATGCACTCCCTTAACAGAATTAAAAACAAAACCTAAACTTTGGGAGCAAAGCCCCGGTCTAACATTTTCTCCAGCCTTCCTGCGATTTCCTCCTTCCTCACTCTTCTAAAGGCTGACGTGTGCAGGGGGCGTGGAGGGTGGTCTCGGGCACGTCGGAAGAGGCAGCTAACCCACTGTGCCACTGCTCCTGGCTCCCCCTCCCCCTCTGTCGTCCCCTGTCCTCTCTGGGTGCCCGCCTCATACACGGCCTTTCTCTCTCCTCAGCCCTTCCTCTCCAAACACATGGCAACTCCTTGCAGGGCAGAGCACCAGGGACAGGGGTCCTGTCGGGCCAGGTGTCCTGCTTCTCTGAAAGGGGTACTCTCTGTCCCACCAGAGGTGTGGCATTGCTTGCTTCTCCCAATTCCTCCCTGTGCCTCAGGCCAATTTTTATGCCAAAATAGGTCTCTGAAGCCCTAGTCTATAGCTGAGTGCCTTGAAAAATACCTTCCCTTCCCTTATAAAATAAGTTAGGAGAACACTACTATTTTCCTCTTGGGAATTCACAATCTAAATATACGTATTAAAGGCTCTGAGAAGTCCTGCAGTAAAGAAGCCTGCTTACCTTCCCCTTGCCTGACCTTCCCTACTTTGTGATTACACTCCCCATGACCCCTGCATAGCTCCTCCTCACAGGACACCTCTCAGTATGCTGGGGACTCATTTGGACTTCGGGGCTTACAAGAAGGGCAGCAAGTAGAAAGTGGAAATGGGACCGTCTGGAGAGGTGCTGTGACAGCAGCAGGGGGAGACAGGGCCCAGCGTGCTGCCTGTCTGTGGGCTCTCAGAGCTATCTGGGAAGTGGGAAGAAGCAAGACTCCCGGGGCCCACCTCCTGTGCAATGGCCAGAGGCAGGAGGGAAAATGAGGTTTCTTAAGTCGAGGCAACAGCAGGGCTGTTGGCGGCATTGCTGCCTCCCCTCCAGTGCTCCCTGCTTACCTCTCAGCCTGGCTGGGCAATGACCCTGAACCCTGAGAGCTCAGCCCACGGCTCTGGCCAAGAGTCAGGGAAGTGGAGCCCCGAGCTGTTGTCAGGTGCACCTGCGGCAGGAGATGGGGCAGGCTTGGGCTTTGGTATTCTGTTCAGAAAGGCTGTCAGGACTCATATCAATGGATTGATATTCTGCTGATGAAATTTCTTCCTGTGGCTTCAGGAAAGAGCCTGGGAGGTGGAGTAGAAGGGAAACAGCTCCAGATCTCAGTGGCAGCAGTAACCTCCTCTTGAGCATGCGGAGCGGGTGCTGAGGCTTTTGCGGGGAGCTGGGGGGGCAGTCAGTGTCCCCAGAGCGAGAGCACTAGGCTGTCTGTGCATTCCTAAAGTGCCTCCCTTGTTCCCCTCTTTCCTCCCAGCCCCATCCTAACAGGCAGCTGGCAGGCAGTGGGGCGGGGGTATGGTGGGGGTGGGGTGGGAGGCTGGGGGCACTGAGTGACCTGCCATGCAGGTGGCGCAGGTGTAGCTCTCACTCAGGGAACTCCATCTGCTCTCCACCTGCAGCCTTGGTCAGAGGGCGGGTCAGGGCACTCTGTTCTAATGGGAGGGGCGAGGTACCTTGGCTGTGACAGAGGGACTGCGGTACCAGCTAAGCAGGGATCATATTGCTGAGGTGGAAAAGGCCCTAAGGAACTGGGCTGGTTACGGAGATAGATTTCCTGCTCTTTTCCATATCTCATCATTAATACAGAAGCCCAACAGCGTGCCTGGTGAGTAGGCCGAAGGAGGCACCACCACGCGACTGTGGGGAACCTCCAGACTTCCTGCAAAGCCTTGCGTTTCCTCTGAGGTAGGTGCTCTGGAATCTGTGTCAGCTGCAGACGTTTCAGCACCTTGATTACAAGAGACAGAAAAGGCAGGGTGCGTGGCACAAATAAATCCCCCGAAGAGCCCATGCCTCCTCTCTAACTCTTGCACCTGCCTGCATGTTTCCTGGCCATAGTCCCTGAGAGCTGCTCATTTCCTGAAGGTGGGAGTAGAGCCAGGAAGAAGAGGCTTCAAGTTGTTGTAGACATGATGGAGGTGGTGATCCCCTGGGGGGCTGGACAGCAAGGCAGGACTACAGTGGAAGCCCATATGACTGGAACCCAGTGGACGTGGGTTCACATCCTGCCTCTTCCACTTACTGGCCTTTGTCAGGTTATCAACTTCTAAGAGTCTCGATTTCTTCATCTGTAAAATTGGATTAGGATACCTGCACTCATTTATTTACCAAATAATATAAACAGGTATAAATACATCCTAAGGTGTATTTTGGGTGCTGGAAGAAAAGCAGTAAAGGACATACAAAGTCTCTCCTCGTAAGATGTTTATAGTCTAATGTGTGGAGAAGAAAATCTCAACAAACAATTATACACTGTGTCAGGTGATAATAATGTTGAAAAGGAACATAAAGCAGGGTGAGGGAAGAGAGAGAGTGTACATGTGTGGGGCTGATTCTTTCCTCAAGCATGATCGAGGAAGGCATCTTCGATAAGGTGATACTTGAAAAGAAACTGGAAGAAAATGAGGTGCCATACAGATATCCAGACATGGGAAAGAGCATGTCTAAAGGTGTTGGGGTGGGAGAGTGCTTGGCAAGTTCAAGGAACATGAAGTTATTGTGTGTGGCAGGAGGGGAGGGGTTGAGGGAAGAGTGGGGAAGAAAGTAGAGAGGTTGTGTGTGTGTGTGTGTAGCAGCTGGTGGAATCTTGTGCGCCTTGTAGAGCTACTCTGAGTGAGATGGAAAAGCCACTGGGGGCCTTGATCAGAGAAATGCCACAGCCTGATACATGTTTTAGAAGAATCACTCCGACAGCTCAGTGGAAAATAGATTTTAAGACCGTAAATGGAGAAGCAGGAAGGCCAGTGGGGGGCTGCTGCATCTTCAGGTAAGCGATGACAACAGTTTGGGTGATGGCAGGTGGTGCTAGTGGTAAACAGTAGTCGGGATTTAGATATATTCCATAGGTAGAACCTACAGGATTTGCTGGTCCATGGGGTAGGGTATGTGAATAGTGAGATGCAAAGACTGCCCTTAAGATTTTGTCCTAAGCAGTTTGTAAAATGGACTTCTCATATATTGAAATGAGGAATATGGTGGGAAGCAAACACTTCAGTTGTTTGGGGGGTGCTGGAGTCAGGATTCTGGCTTTCTGTGAGGTTGCGGGTGTCTGTTTGACATCCAGTGGAGGTGATGAGCAGACAGTTGCATATGACAGTCTGGGGCCCAGGGGAGAGGCTGGGGCTGCCATACAAGGTTGGGAATCATCAATGTCTAGACAGTTCAAAAAATTTTGGCCCTGCATGAGATCATCAAGAGAGTGAGTGAGGATTGAGAAAAGAAGCGGTCCATGGGACACTCTGACGTTTAAAATTCGAAGAAATGAAACCACCCAGGAGGTCTGGGAAGGTGTGCTTAGATAGGGTGTGGTACCCAGCACAGAGTAGGTGCTCAGTAAAACATAGCCACCACCCTCCTACCTACCATTATGTTTATGGCTAGAGTCCCGGAAAATGAAATTTGAAGTACAAATAGCAAGATTCAGGAGTGTGCACTTTACCTACATTCTTCCTCTTTTCCTTCTCTTTCCTCTTTGGTTCCTCATTGCCCATGGTCTCAGGCTTCCATCTACTTAATAAAAACAAAACAGAATAATAAAAACTTCTGGATACATTAAAATGCCCAGCATACAACTCAGTTCTAAGTAATCAAGAAAAGCCAAGTCTTTGGGTAGTCAGCGTGGGGTGAGTAATCACTGAGCAGGGTCAGCCCAGGGAGAGTCAGGATTCTGGACATGGCTTTCTCCTCTTACCAATTCATGGTGTGACCTCAGGCAAGTGAGTTCATGTCTCCTGTCCTTGAGGAGAATGGAGACTTCCATTCAGGTAAGAATACCGATCAGCTCATCAATTTTCCTACTCAGATGGCATCTTGCCATTTGCTTGTCTTGTTTCCAAAGCATATGGATCCTACCTTCTTATTAAAGTAAGATAATGGTTCTTTTGTTTTCCCTCTGAGAGTCGAAGTCTGAGAGAGAAGTGCCATTTCAGGGTGACTGTCAAGGTCCCCCAACTTATCTACCCCTGTAGGCACTCTGAGACCCGTGGATCTCATTGGACCACCAGAAGGCCAATTACTTGAACCATATTAGTTTATTTCCTTGCATAATTATCTTCTTTGAATTGCATTTTAGGAACCATGCCCTTGGCTTTAATTAAACATCCTTGAAACAGGCAAAGTTCACTGCTGCATTTGCAGAAGAACTATTGTTGCAAACATCATCCTATGCCATTCTGGAAAAGCCTTTCCAAGTGTTTTTGTGGAGCACAAGTCTTCAGGATAGTATTAAAAATCTCATTATGGGGAAAGGTTAGTGAGTTTGGAAAAAACGAGGTGTCCTTCCTGAAGGTCATCTAAAAGGCTTTACTAACAAAAAAGATGTGGATCCCTGGAAAGGGCATAAGCTATGCAAGATTTCCCATTTAATTGGCCATAGAATCCTATTTGGGTGGCATATCTCTCAGGATTAGTGTTCCATGAACCCAGAAGAAGAGATTCTGGATGCTTCATGCTCAGACAGTTCAGCACTGTGGACTGGGCTGTGGGAAGGAACAGAAAGAAGGGCTCATAAGCAATTGACAGGGGAGCCTGCAGGTGGATGATCAATGATGAGGCATCGTCAGTGCACACTGGTCTCGGGCAGTTGGGGTCCCAGGAGGCTACATAACATCTGGGCTGTATGAGTTACTAACGTTGCCATTCATGGAGGCAAGCCGTGTGACCCTTGTGTAAAACAGTACACGAAGTTAAATTATTTAAAAAATGTTTCAGTGTTAGGATAAGGGTATAGAAGTGTTTGTTAGATTAATGTTTCATGGTAGTGCTGGGGAGGGATGCCAATTGCGGTAAGAGCTTGCTACCTGGGAACCGCAGAGAGTCTCCCTCCTCTCCTTCAGTTAGTTTTCCCTCTTTCACTTCCAAACCTGTATACTTCATCAATCCTCAAATTTCAGTCTCTGAAGCTCTAAGAAAACCCTGGGGGAAAGCTCTGTTCCTCCCCTCATGGGGCAGATCGACCAGTCTAGGTGTGCGTGCAGATCGCATGGCCTCCTATTGATGCAAGGTTAATTATTTAGATGCTAATAATTTCACTTTAAAGTGGGAATTGAAACATGTTTTGCTAAAGCTTCCAAAGTGGGGGAGGAAGGAAAGAAGAAGGTGGTAGATCAATGGTAAATATGATTGCCTGATGGTCTGGGTCCAGCAGGACCCAGAGGCTACATCTTTAGCTGGGAAGTACAGCAAGACGATCAATATCACAGGCATCCTTAAGAGAACCACAGTGGCCAGGAGGGTGTGTTCGGGGTGTCAGCCTGAGAGGCTTTCAGAGGGGCAGATATTTACGTGGTGAGATAGAAGGGATGCTTAGTAAGTCCTCTAGCTCCAGATATTTGCCAGACTACCTGTAGCACCATTAGAGTGAAATTCTTTTGACTCCTAGAGCTCTTTCTGCATCGAAGAACCCTTGGAAATGTGAAATCTCTGGGACAGTTCATACCTTGCTATCAGCCAACAGTGTAGCTCTAGGGTAGGACTGAGGGTAGCGGGGATGGAGAAAGGTGCTCGTGTATCCTCATCCCTGGTATGTGTACCTCTGAGGCTAAGAAAGTCAGGGTGCCAGTTTAAGAAAAACCTCCAGGACCGTGTTACCTACTGGAGGCAGAGTAAGGATTTTTCAGGGTGGGTTTTACCTCTTTTACCATTTGGTGGGTTTGAGAGATGAGGCACCGTGAGTTTAGCTGTTGTGGCATGGCCCAAGCCTCACCCACAGGGGTCTGGAGGTGAGAAGAGAGAGAGAAAGACGAGCTTTGACTGTGCAGAGCTCCTCTCTCCAGGCCATGCCCGGGAGGAGGTTTAGCTTATATCTTCAGAGGGGACATGAGAGTAGGTTCCCAGGCAGGTGACGGAAGACAGGTCAGAGAGGGCGGCTTCCTAATTCTCTCCCGAGGGACCCAGCATTAGAAAGCCTAGCTTCTGGGTGCAGGTCATCTGCTGCCCTCCATCCCTCTTCCAGGCAGGAAGCAGTTTCTGTGGGGTTCCGTCTGTGGGGCTCCATCAACTCCCTGAGAGGGAAGCAGACCAGACCGGAAGCAGCCACCTCCAGCCTCTCAAAGCATAGATGTCTGTTGTGCGGCTCCCACTGCACAGCGAGATGCACATGCAGAAGGAGCATGCACGCTGGGGGAAGCCACAGGGATAAGCAACAGGGGTGGTGATGGGCCATGGACAGTGGCTCTGGTGGGGCGAAGAGCCCTCTGTGGGCTTGCATGGAATGGGGGTGGGGGGCAATCCACGGTGGGAGTGGCGGCTAGTCAGGGTGGC